TCAGTCAGCTCTTGTAACACTACTCTTACAGAGCCTGCCTTCTGAACTACATCTCAATGTCTGAACAATGCAACATTATCATTGCTTGCTGGAAGCAATGCATGATGGGATGGAATGTAGTCTTGAGATATTGAGATTGCATTACATCAAGTAGGCAGGTAAAAAGAAGCAAAGCACACTGGGAATCCAAGAATTTGCTGGAAGTAATGGGCAGACGGAAGGTAGCGCTCACTACATAAAAGGGAATTTTTCAAGTAAGCTTTGGTTGCATTATCAGAAACAACTCCAGTATGTATTCCTATTACAATGCTGATCTTATAACAGGAGAGGAGATGCTGGGACTTTACAACTCTTTTAACTGGGGAACCAGTTCAAATCTCCTGCTCAAAAGTAAGGCCTTGTAGTATAATTTCATACCAGGATCTCCTCGAGAAAACCCAGTTGATAATCACAGCAGGAAGATGATCCGAAGGGACTCCGCGGCTTCACTAGATGAAATGTATAATAAATATACTTCTACGCTTATCAGGAAATGAAAATATCCACTAAGTGGCTGAATGTTTGTGGACACCTGACCATCACATTTTTATGAGCTTGTTGGAATCCCATTCCAAAACCATGGGCAATAATATAGTGCTGCTTCCTATCCTCACATAAACAGTGCCCTTCACTGGAAACCCCACTGAATAATTTGAAGGGGTGCCACATAATTTTGTCCATAAACATAGAAATGGTGGTCAGGTGTCCACACACTTGTGGCCATTTACTGTATGACCTGTTCGTGGATTTTAGGTTGGGTTTTCGGGAAGCCGTGGTCTACCCTTGACAAGCCTGTTAAGTTGGATGACTATCTGGAAGAGCAATATCAATAAAATGTACAATCGACTAATAGATGACACACACCACCTTAGTGGATAGTGCTGCTAACAGCTAAAATTCACTTTCTGTATCCATTACTCCCAATTGAATTTCTGTTCATTTCTTTATTATATTTAATACATCTGTAAAATAAGGGACTGTTCTCATGGCCTTTACCTGAATAGTAATTAAAGTATCATACGATGACAGATCAAATAATTGCACACATAAATTTCACTCTAGCCCGGGATGTCACCTGTACTTTGTCCTGAGTTCACTTGAAACACCACAGTGACGGATGACACTGCTAACAGCAATGGCAAAAACAGAGTTTTGGTTTGCATTAGGGATGTTCAGATACCAAATACAGTACTTGGTACATGTACAGATACTTTTCCAGCTCCAAGACTAGACTACAGAAAAAGTTAGGCGGCAGCTCAATGCCTGCATCCAAATCAGATTGTTCAGGTATTTTGAGAGCCAGCGGGGCCGACTAGCAAGATACTGAAGCTTGGCCCAGTGGGAGATTCCTCCACAGTGTAGCGTAGATGGAGGAATCTGTTTCACTTTTCCCATCGGACCATAGTCTGCAGATCATCTATAGTTGTATGGCCAGCTTTAAACAATACACAAAACAATTCCACAACAGCGTTCGCCCACCCCTGATCTAGGGCTACATTCACACTGGCACTCCTGCATTTAGGTTATAAATGCAGGAAAAATATGTGGGAAGTATGAATAAACGTTATGTTTCCTGGATCACCTGTGCATTTACACGTGTTCAGAGTTTCTAATCGGATCCTGGACGCACAGAATTCCCAAACAGTGAATGCAGCTCCTGTTTTGTTTTTTTCATTTATTGTGGCCTGTGTCCGAGCCTTAAACATTCACCTTTTCTATTCATCATAGTGATCATTGTCACCAGGGCAGAAAGTGATACAAGATTCAAAATTGTACAGTTGTCACCATAACAGGAGGTGAGAGGAAATCATCCACTCGGGACACTTGTTCTAGAGACAACTGTCTTAGAGTGGATTTCCCCTTACTGCCTGTTGTGTCTACAGGACACAGGTCTAAGGTCCTATTCACACCATAGCATAGCGGGAACTGGCGTTGCGGTGCCGTGCGTTCCAGCGCGTCTGAGAATTAGTTTCCTGTGTTTGCCAGGTGTCCCCATTGATTTCAATGAGGGTCCGTACTCATGACAAATGAGGGAAAATAGTGCAAATTCGGAGAGCTTTTTCCCTGCAAGTTTTTTGGGCTGTGTTTAGAGGGAAATCGCACACACAAAAAAATGCACATTACGTGCATTTTGCGGATGTGCTCATTGAAGTCTATTGGGCCCAAAAACGCGTGACCATGCCCTAAAGAGGCTCCTGTATGTCTTCTGAGTATTGAACGGCAGCACATCACAGAGATGTGAACAAGCACAATAGAATAACATAGAAAACGGATTGGCGAGCATTGAAGTGCTTCTAGAAATGTGCCTCAAAATGCACATTTAAGAATGACTTTCATGAAACCGGTGCTGTCCAACACTTCTAGGGGTGTCAGGTAGAGTGTCTCCCTCTGTGATGTAGGGATCAGTAGGGGGCGGACCACAGCATTCAGTGGAGGACACTTTACACGTCGCACTCGGAAATGTCAGATAGCAGCCGCATCTGGAGCTCTTCAATTGAGCATAGGTTCAATGGGCTACCCACAGGAAAGAGGATTATTAGGCATGTAAGCCGGCAAAAAATATGGTTAGTTTAGTTTCGGATTTTTTGTTCTTCTGGTCCGAAAGTCAATTCGGTTCGGGATTTGGACGAATCTGAATTCTTGTTAATTTCAGATGCAGTAGTATTTACAAACGAATTTTCATTGCAGTAAAAAGTGACATTAAAGAAAAACAAACAAACAATGACATTTTTGTCCGCGGAAGCAAAAAAAAAAAAGTGTGAGGTTCCCCCCCAATTGATACCAGAAACCGTGTGGAGTTCCCCCTAAATTCCATTCCAGACCCTTAATCCGGGCACTGGCCTGGCAGGGCAGGAGGGGGGGGGTGCTTTTCCGGGGGGACCCTGGCGCGGTGGTTGTGGGGGTGTGTGGGCAGGGGGGCTTGGCAGGGGGCTTATTTGCAACTGGGGTATCCCAGATGCCACCCCCCCCCCTTGTGAATGAGTAAGGGATAGTTGTTACTCCTACTCATTCGCTAAAGAGTTAAATAAAAAGTAAATACCAACAAAAGATCTTTCTTTATCCCCCGATAATGCCACCAGACACATGACGAATGTTGAATTAAATTTCATTTTATTGTAACATACGATTTTGGAATAAATGGAGTTTCTTGAATGAAAATCACATTCACGGTTTTCCATCCTGCTCCTTCGAGGTTTTTTGTCACTATGGTCGAAATCGATCATCGATTTGACCCCATCAACTAATAGAACGTCGAATGAAAGATCTTCTGTATGAAAGTTTGTTCAGAAATCTACTAGTGTATGGCTAGTTTTACCCTTGCAGTGGGGCTACTTATCCTCGCAGTGGGGCTACTTATCCTCGCAGTGGGGTGCTGGCTGGCAGGGGACAGAGGATCAGGTGCGTAAAACTGCTTTATCTAAGCCCCCTATACAAAATAAGCAGTTAACCCTTGTAGCCCCACTCCAAGGGTAAGTTCTTGATTATCCCAGAATACTTCTTTAAAATAATACATGGCACTCCAGCCATAAAAGTCATTATATAGGCACTTCCTGTTTTAGGGTGACAGCGCTCTATCCCTGTCTACATGATGCTCCCTGTTGTTGCACCATCATGGCTTCCGATGGAGACCACACAGTCATTTCAACATACATTACTTGCCATTAGGAAACCGCTTGCCCATACAGCCATCTCTGGAGTGCATGTTGACAAGGAGTTCCTGCAAAGAGGCTGCCGGAGATCAGCAGCACTGAGACGCAACAATGAATGGAAAAAGTGAAAACACATTTTATTAAAAATGTTAAAAAAAAGGCAACCGTTAATGATACATAGTCCTTAAGCAAAATAAATATCATTAATTTCAGGTTTACTTTTACTTTAATTTAGGGATGTTCAGATACCAGTGCCGATACTTGGCATTTTCATGAGAACTACCAGGGTTGCAGAGGTTGCAGCTGGGACCTGGCTCTGGCGCTCCACCATTGTCCTGAAATCATTAGTCTGTATTGTTTTAGAAAAACTGTCACATGACAAACAAAAATGTACCAGTACTTGTATCTCTAAATACTTGGGCAAGTATCAGTACTGCAAAAATGGTATCGGTGCATCACTTTATTTATAAAAACAAAATCATACATTAAAACAAAGATGCACAAATCCCGGGAGCTCCGTGTGCTCCTTACAAATGACAGCTGCCTCCTGACTTTTGAATTTTTCTCTAGTCTAGTCTTGGAGCTGGAAAAGTATCTGTATTTGTACCGAGTACGGTACTTGGTATCTGTGCATCCCTACTTTAATTACCCTTCTAAATGCCCATTTTCGTAAGATTGCCCTTGGCTCCCTAGAGCTGGCCAATCCCTACTAACATATGGGCAGGTTGGAGGTCTCAGCTTTCTTGGCCAACTCTGTGGACATCTATATATTATTTTGGTCTATCTGCTAAAATAACCAGCTCGGGATGCTAAAGAGCGCCCAATGCTTGTATCATGAGCCCTTACAAATAAGGATCGAGGACGCTAATGTTCACATACACTGATAGCGCGCGTTTTACGGGCAATAAACCCAAACAATCACAAGCTGACTTCTTCATACATGAGCAAATAAAAGACAAATGTCTTAACCCTCCTCCCTAACATTAAGCATCAGCACAGACTAATTAACTGCTATCTACAATGATAAAATGGTAAAACAATTGAGTTGTAAAAGCAGATTATGCCCCATACCTGAAGGTTAATAGACTGTCTATTTTGCGCCCACGCACACCTCTGACCCCCCCCACCCCTTTGGTTGCCCATCATACGCACAAGGTACCAGAATAGACAAATGACTGGTCAATCAGGATGAGTGAGTGTATGATCATAGGGGATGGAGCTAGAAATTTTAAGGAAGGAGGAGGGGTCAGGCTTATTCTTCAGCAATCACAAGACATATAAACCCTCAGAGATCAGAGGACGAAACAGAATCTTCTAAGCAGCCTACAAAGACAGACACAGAGAGAGGGATACAGAGGAACCTGAAGCATCCTTACCTTCCTGCACATCCCCCTCCTTCCAACACACAGTGAGTAACTTAACTTGCTCTTATTTCGTTACTTCTTTGCTGTATTTTAATAGCACCGACATATACTGCAACACACGTACATATAACAATTGGCAATGCGGTGCTTACACCCACATTTAGAGACTGGGGTCCATCTTCTGAAAACACTAGTTACATGTCTGTCATGTTGAGCCATTAGCTTTAAAACTTTTGAGTCAATGACTAAAAACAGGTACGCCGGTCAGGAACACCAGACAAAAGTCGGACGTTCTCACTTGCTAACTTGTTGCAGGTCAGTAATTCAAAGTAATGAAGTGAGAAGATCAAGATGTTTGCCAGGCAACTAGCATTTTCATATGTTAGGTCAGTGATGGCAGCCGCTGTGTTTGCTTTAACTCTAGCCTTTTATATCTCTTGAACTGGCCACCCTGTCTGCATTCTTGCACAGGTTTTGGCCACAGGTGAATGCTGAAAACATACCAAGAGTACTAAAGGAAGCACTCACACACTCTGGAGCCCAGATAGATCCGAAAACTACTAATCTACTAATTTGTTCTTGGATGGCTGGAGTAAACCTGAGTGCCATGAGGAATTTCACACAAAGCAAACCATGCTGATGGGGTCCTGGTGCCATTAGAACCATGAATCTTGGAAGGTATTCATCCTAAACACAGAACCACCACACATGTTTTATGCATGTTTTACATGAGAAATTCCATGTGATTAGTCCTAACATGGTCTTCAGAGTTTTTCCAGAGGCATAGTCAGTTTTCTCTGCAGGCTTAAAGGTCTATTCCACCCACAACTGATATCTACATTTTGGGTAAATGCTGGAGAGTGAGACCATTTGACAGTCTCATATCTCTGGGAGGTTCTGTTGGTGAAATCTCTGGGCTGAGTTCCCAGGTCTGTGGGGCCCCACCATCCCTATTGGTGTATGTTATAATATGGAGACTGTAAAAGGGGGAACTGAAACACACCAAGGTGGGCAGGAAAAACCAAAATGTCTATGTCCATAGGAACAGAGTCAGAGTTACGGCAGATCTCACGGTTGGTGACATACAAGCCGCCAGGGGCTGCCTTAGAGAACCAAGCTCTGTCTGTAACTAAAATATAAATTATTGGTGGATTGTCCTCTTTTCCTGCCTATAGCAGCAGGGAATCGATTTACCTTTTCACTCCTGAGTGCATGCTATGTAGTAGAAGTGAACTGTAACTACATGTGAGTGAAGGTTCCCTCCACCACATCTGACAGTTCCACCCCACCACATCTGACTGCTCCCCACCACCACCCCCGTGGGTCGGGATTACCTGTCTCTCATGGGTGCCTGAGACCTCAATGGCAGATGTCAGAATGGAGAACAGTGGGAGATCAGTCCATTCGCTGATCGTTTGTGGGTAGCATAATCCCAGATTAACCCTGCTCTGAGCACTTCGGGGTTCAGGGCTGTCAAACCCGGGCCTCTCTGGCCAGGGCAGAAACTGATCGACAGCACAGTCTGCACTGGATTAGTCTCCTTAAACTGTCACCTGCACTATGCTATCACATAGGGAGCTTTTCAGCCCCCTATAGCAATATAATCAAGTGGGAAAAAAAAGAGAAAAAATGTACTAACAAAAAGATAGCAAAAAAATAAATAATGAAAAAAAAACCCCCAAAAAAGTGTTTAAAACCCCCGAACTCCATACATAAGAACCCAAATGCACATCGGGTGTGCACGCATATGAAAAACAGACCATTTTGCCACACATTGAGTATTGGCTGAAGGCTATAATTCTAGGACCATCATTCACTGTTAACTCTAAATTGATGAGATGTAAAGGCTTATAAAGCATCAGGTATGAAACATTTTGAGTACTGTAGTTTTTTGCTGCTTCACTGACACACACAATTTTGGGGTTGACATGCTTGGTATCTATTTGCTTTATTTATTCGTCACAATCTTATTTTTTATTTTTACCATCAAACTGAGGATTATATTGTGTTGTTACACTGAAACAATTTGAATGTATTTGTTACCGAAAATATAGATTTGATTAACAGCAGCTCTATTTCCGCATGACAAAAAATGGAAACTGCCACCAGGCAGGGTCTCTGATTTCAGAAACTGTATATATTTTGGGGTGCCTAATGTGTATAATGTTTCAAAGTGTGTGTTTTGTGTACGTGTGTTCAATGTGCATTTTAGTTTGTGTGCGCAAAATGAAGAAAGGGAAAAAAAAGGACACCGGCAGTGAAAGGGTTAATAGCTTAATGGTATCACAATCTATTCAACTCCATATAACGGTATTTAACAGTCTACATAGCTCCAGGTGTACAGTGGCCATGCTTTCAATGTTGTAGAAATCAGTACGATTATAATACATTCATAGACACCTTGCTTTCAGTCTAGGCTAAATAACAGATATTGAATAATATAATCAAAACATGTCCCACCCCAAAAAATCTATATCCCCTTCCAACTCCATTTTGGAACCATAGCACTCTAATTAGTGGAGATTCCCTCTCGATAATGTGCCCATGATCAGCAAGACACCATCTTCACTTATTGGTCTACTTATCTTATTGGGAGATCCAACTTCTAGTATTCTGCATGGTACCATGTATGTGTATCCTGGGGCTGCGGAATCCCAGTGTCTCCCCTTTGGGTGGGTGTACATGTTTATTGCACCAAAAAAAACTTCTAATCTTGGCCTCCTCTTGGGTGGGGGTGGTGGGGAAATAACAACCGACCATAAAAATCCAACAGTTATTGTTCCGATCATAATAATATTAATAATCAGCTTTTGTCTGTGGGAAACTTTGCTGTGCACTGCCTGTGTGTAAACTAGCACGTGGAGGGGCTGTATGTTAGATCTTGTATTGATGTGCCTGGGTAACTTCCTACTGAGCCGCACAAAGTGGACCTGTGCTTTGTCCACACAACAGGTTCACTTTAATACCAGATCCCCCACAGCTTCCTGAGGAAGCAGAGTGACCTACCTGGGTGCTTACAAGTATTAAGTAGCTTATGACTCACTCCCCAAGCTCCTACGTGAGTGCGCACTGGTGCTTGATGACTGACTGATCGGACACCCAGGACTGTAATATGGGGGTCGGGTAAGGGGGCCCTTGGCCCCAGGTAGCAACTACAAGGTTACATAAGGCTTCCTCTTCATTTTTCTTGGGCAAAGCAGCAGTACAGGAAAGGCAAGGCAGGTATAAGCAGTGGTGGGGGCTAGTATTTAATCACACCTGGTATCAAAAATGTACGGTACCACTATTTACATCCCCCATGTTAAAAGGAGACTTATAATACATTTGAAATAAACACAAAGAAAAAGTGACATGGTTTTTGATTCACTCATATAAAAGCTTGTTCATAAAGTCTATGAATAAGCCCATTACGAGTGAAACGCATTAGTGGGTGGAGTTCAGGTGGTTTGTCATACATCAGATCATCTAATAAATCTTACTGGTGGCATTGATCCTGGAGTGCAGCAACTTTTCTATTTCTCTCTCTTGACCCTGGCTTTGCGATCTAGTAAATAATTGACCTTGGACAAGCCAGTGAAGGTGTTCACTCGTGTTCTGCCTCCTTCTTCCAGGCAGTGAAGCCAGGACCATGGTAACAGCTCCAGAGCTTGTGCCTTCATGAACCAAGTCTACTATGGCAGCCCCCTTATTTCTTTCTTTAAAGCTTCAATTTACAATGTACTTTAGCCAAAAACTGTTATTTTAGTTTTCAATGGTGATTAGTGCCTGCAACCCAAGTCTCTCGTCTTTCCAAGAACTGCAATTTAGTGGGGACACTGTGGAACATTAGTAAATCCCTAAGTAGCTTAGCAAAACTAAGTATTTATGAGCTAATTGCTATATGAATTGGTCATTGGGAACGCCATTCATTAAATCATCCGGACACTTAGGACTTTCACCTGTCCAGCTACAACAAAGGTGCTCCTGAGTTAATAAAAGCTGGAAGCTCATTTTCTATTTTTTTAAAACACGTATACAGTATATCAATTAATATACATTATATATATATATATATATACACACACATACAAAATGTTGCAATTGTTTTGAATCTACCTGTATAGGGCTTCCCTAGAGGATGGCGCAGGGTCCAAGCTCAGCCAGCAATAGGGAGGAATTTATGATAACACCCAGGGATTATGCAGTTATTAGAGAATCTCTGTGCAATGGGTGCTGATCCTATAAAATCAGAAGAATATATTCAGCCATGCTTGCATCATGTCTGCTCATTGGCCAAGTCACAAGCTATACTGCAAAAGGCTCAAAGACTGGCTGATATCCCATTACCTGTCCTTAGCTTCAGCACATCTATGACCAGCCTTACCCTTTTTCAGATTTCTTGTGCTTCCCCAGTGCTGGGTTACGTTTATTCAGCAGGTAACATAATCAGTTGTTTTCCAGGCAATAGCCCATATATGAGGGTTTTATGACCTCTGATTATATGTATTGGTGCTTTTGTAAACGAGTTTGAGATTACTCTTTCCATTAAAGTATACACAGATCCATAAATAATCTTTTCTACACTTTCTTAGTTACACATTAAAGTATGTGTTATGCTAACCTTTAAGGGGCACTATGAGATACCTATAAAATGCACATTAATGGTTCAGCACATGAAGAAACCATAAACTATATGGCCAAATGTTTGCAGACACCGGACCATCATACCTAGATGACACCTTGATACAGGAACATTGCATATTTCTGAAACTTTGGTAAGCGCTGAGATAAAAGTAGACCTGTGCTCAGAGCATTCACACAAAAGTATTTACATATTCTGAATGAACAGTAAAAGCACTATAAAAACAAACTATTTACATATTCTAAATATGCAGCAAAATAACTTTAAAACAGGCCCACACTCACCTCTTTAGCTGCTTTTAATGTGAAGTGATTAATTCTCAGAGATCCTCAAAGATCACAGCGACGACTCTAGTACTCTGGTTTCAGTTGTTCCTAACAGCTTGGAAACATCAGCTTTTTCTTTACAGTAGAAGGCTGTCAATGTCTACTCTCATAATGTGAAAAATAGTCAGAATGTGAAAAATAGTTTATTTCCACATTCTGACATGTGTGCCCTTTAGGTTTCTTCGTCATGTGTAAATAGTGTTGGGAAGGGTTCAGGACTCCACCTGGGAGACAGGAAAGCTCCACCCAGGAGACATAGTGGAGTCCAGTGCAGAGCAGGGTGCTGTGGATTGGGAAGAACCCCCCAGTGTGCAGGTTAGCACATGACTCAGGCTGTCTAGAGGAACAGACAGTGGCCTGAGGTCTAAGGCCAGAGCAGCGGTGCTGCCAATGCAAAGCCAGGAGGCTGGATGGGCAGGTGCTGCCATGAGATGCTAAAGAACCCCTGAGAGGGTAATTGTTCTGTTTTGTGGACTTTCATTTAATAAAAGTGGGCAAGGAAGCCCTTGAATGAAGATTACAGCGAGTGGATGCGTCCTTTATGCGCTACTATTTGGAGCTAATCCCCACAATAGGCATCACCTTTAAGGAAGGTGTGCTATATATTCTTCTTAGACATGATGGTGTTTCCATTTTATTGTTCACTATATGGCCACAACTTTGTATATACCTGACCATCATGTCTGTATGAGCTTGTTGGACATCCTATTCCAAAACCATGGACATGGACTATGCTCTTCTGGGAAGGCTTTTCACCAGATGTTGGAGGGTGTCTGTTGGATTTGTGCCCATTCAGCCAAAAGAACATTTGTGAGATCAGATGCCGATGTGTTAGGAGAATACCTGTAGAGAGTGGAGACGAGTGGCCGGAACCTTCAGGCTAAGCATAGTTCTTAGAGAATAAGAGTTAGAATAGTCCGAATCGCTAGACATCAAAATGGTCTTATAATGACTGGATGAGGGGTAGACAGGAATAGGAACTCTGATATTCAGTTTAGGGCGGCATTGTCAATTCTAAGAGCCATTCTCAATATCACATCCAGTCATTGCTTTTCAGTTACCGATTCAGGAGTCATCTCATGCCATGTAGAAACTGGTAGATGTACTAAACCTCACACTCACATACCTACAGAAAACTCCATCATTTGTGTTGTCCTTCAGATGGTCCAAGATTGAAGCGCCAGATACAAATTTATTCCAAGTTGCGATCCAACATATTTTGTTTCTTCTTAAACAAGTTGCTAATGGGCTCTGTGTTCTAATGAACTATCAACCTCACAGTTTTATTTCCAGTCCTTCAGTTACTACCCCCTGATACTACCTCCTGATAAAGTGAGCTCACTTACCCCCAAATCGTGTTGGCTTCCTGACAAAGTCTTATTTCAACTTGAACTAAATCTGCATCTGCACAATTTATTTTCGGTGTTGTGCTTCAATCCAACCAAGGTGACAGTGGTGATCATTTGATGTTGAGAAGCTGCCAACCCCAAGCATTCAGATATCTGGGTCAATTAGTTACATATCATCCATAACTATCTGGGTCAATTAGTTACATATCATAACTAAAGGAAATCTGTAAGGTCCCAGCACTACCCCTTTAAAAAATCTATTTTCTTTTATGTCCTGCAGATGGTGACTTCCTTGAAGCTCTGGCCAATGATGGTAGCCGTCGCAATCTGCGTCTTAATATGTCTAGGAACGATAGTGGAGGGATATCCACCCAAACCGGAAAACCCTGGAGACGACGCTTCACCAGAGGAAATGACCAAATATTTGACAGCCCTGCGGCATTACATCAACCTGGTGACACGGCAAAGGCAAGTACCTGTCTTTCGGCACTATTAGACTTGACAGATATTTGTCATCCAGACAAGAATACATTACACATTAGAGTATGTTAAACATTTGTAGAATGATGCAACCCATGCACATAGGGGCTGATCCATAACGTGTGTGCACAGCATATAGCTGTGAGAGCGATGTTCACAGCATATTATTGTCACTAGATGGAACTGAGGAGCATTGGATTTTCCCATGCTTTTCGGCTCCATCTAGTGGCAGTAACGTGCGGTGAACGCTGTTTGCACAGCTGTACACTGTGCAAACACTTTATAAATCAGACACCAAATCATCATTAAAGTATATCTAAACCCAAGAACAAAACATTTGATGAATTGCAGCTTACTAGCCCTTATATGTGATGGCTGTATTCATTTTCTTCTCTTTTTTCCTTTATTATTGACCCTTGATCCTGCCTGTAACACACTTCCTGTCCTAGGGTGATAACGCTCACTCGCTGTACTATATCTATGGACTTTCCTTTTAACCCATTCATGGATGTACAGAAATAAACTGAGCCTACACTGAGGAACAATGGAGTCTGCCATTGTTGACCTTTCCTTCTGAAAATGCTAATTCCCTGGCTGTAATGATGATCTGATGGCTATGGTACTTTGCGAGTCCGTGACTGTGAACAGGTATGCAGATTAGGATGCCTGTTCTTGGTTACTGACCCCAAATATTAAGTCCAGAGCAATACATGCATCAAGCGTTTTCATGGTGAAGGTCAGCAAATGCATCTTCCATTATTTATTTCATTACAGGTTCCCTTTAATCCACTGCTATTGAAAACAAAGGGAGTGGGGTAGGGATAGCTGTTCTATCATCTAGAGCAATCTCATACATAGTGTTGGGTTCTTATATCTCCTGAGGGCTCCAGTTACATAAATCTCCACCAGAACTCCCAGTTTCACCCAGTTCTTTGACCATCACAAAGCCGATAATTTCCTCCAGCCCAATAACCGAAGGTCTGTACCTCTGTGTGGACCTGGGTCTGAAGGAACAGTCTGCAGGAGCCTGTTCATTACACCGCTGAACATGGTTGCAATGCTCTGCAGGGCTCCTATGCAAAGATTAATAATTGCACATTTTTCTTTTAACAATGTGTCTGCATTTATCAATTGTCTTTAAAATGTTGACCATGCCTTTACAGTTTTTGGGTCAAATGATAAGGTTGCTTTAAAAGGGAACCAACATGGTTATAAATACAGTATAGAGGATCTGACAAAATATTTGCGATTGTGTTCAGGCACTTTGGTAGTTCACACCCTGCCCACAATATACAAGGGACATCACATTCGATTACATAGTGATTAGGGTGGTGTCCTCCAGCCTACTGATTGGACAATGAAGACGCAGCAAACTCACTAAATCTTCTCTGTGTGCTCCCCTCCATATTGCATATACTGCATATTTGCAGGGTTAGACTGACAGCACTGTGCAATACAAGAGAACCCAAATGGCTGACATTTTGGTTCTTCTGCCAGTGCGAGTGCGTAAGGAGACTACAATTCAGTACATGGACAAATGTGTGTACTTTCACACACTGTAAGGCAGATACATATGGCTCACAGCAGTAAGGAATACAATCTGGTTACAACTTTATTTATAAAAGTCCTACTAACTGTCTTATTATATTTTAGATATGGAAAGAGGGACAGTCCCGCTGACAATCTGCTTTCTGATCTTCTGTATGGAGACAACGGAAACTACAACAGCAGATCACGGTAAGTGAGTTCCCAAAATACGCAGGCAAGTTAGATGAAAGCAGATCAGACTTTAGAAGCTGCAGAAAGTCAGATAGAGCCCACCTCATTTTCTGGCTGGAGGATGTCCAGTATCATCTAGCGCTTTCCTCCCCGGGCTGTCCCCAGGCCTTGGCCCCGCCCCTTCCATTCATTGGATTTCAGTTCTTTTAATCATGGAGGCTCAGCATCACATGGGGGTGTTACCTAGGGTGGTCTGCATGCAAACACAGTCTGTCTAGGAACACCCACTCCTCTAGACTAGAGACCTCAAGACTCCTCTAGACTGATATCCACCCATTAAGACATTTTGATATTTGCATAACTCCTCCCAAGAGCCGGCCCACTGCTTGCATCAGGGCTGAGGGCTTTTGAGAGAAATACTAAGGCAGGGTGCTGTGATGATTTCAGCAACCTATGTGCAGCATATGTACAAAAAGTGTAAAAGTAAAAGCAGCTGCTGTGGGAGTGTATATGTATATGCAATCTCTGCTCACCAGATATTGGACATCTAGAATTAGAAAATGGAAAAAAAAAAGAAAAAAAATGTACACACACATAAATATACAAATATATGCCTTAAGAGTTTGCTTCCCTTCCCAACCCCTGAAAAACAACCCCGCACCATAATCTCCCTCCACCAAACTTTACACTTGGCACAATGCAGTCAGGCAGGTACCGTTCTCCTGGCAACTGCCAAACTCAGACACGTCCATCAGTTGGCGACTTCTGCGCACTGTGCGCTTCAGTATGCGCTGACCCCGCTCTGCCATTTTACGTGGCCTACCACTTCGTGGCTGAGTTGCTGTTGTTCCCAGGTGCTTCCACTTTGTTATAATACCACTAACAGGTGACCGTGGAATATTTAGTAGCAAGGAAATTTCATGGAACACCTGAATCCAATGATTTGAAGGGTATCCCAATACTTTTGACAATATAGTGTATATCAACACAATCTAACGCACATGCAATAAAATATTCTGCCTAACTGCCACTTTCATCTTTTCCTAGGTACGACGACTCCTACTATAAATGGTGACCCTCAGAGCCCTCTTCTCCCTCCGCTCCCCAGGTGACCGCTGTCCCGCCTTCCCTTCTTTTTAACGTATCGATTATTTTTACGCCATTTTGCATTCTGACTGGTTCCTGTATCCTGTCGCTCCTCCCAGCGGGAGAGTGCAGATTGGTCGAGAATGCCCTCCACGGGGGGTGCGTGTGTGTGCGCGCGACATTTCTTCCAAAGCTGCCTCTCCCATAACACACAATTTGTGATGTCCGACTGAGAAATTCACCGTGTCCAGATAATAAAAGCAAGTTTAATGGAAGTGACACTGAGTTCTGAGTGTGCGTCTGTCCGATTCATTTCACACCAACACATTCTATACTTTCAATGCTAAAGAGCAATGCAAAGAATGCAAAAACCCAAAACAACCTGACCCTCTTTCTTCATTTTGACTGCCTTAAACTCTAAAAGGTGAAATCTAAATGGCCGTAATGGCCCTTACTGCACTTTTGCATTATTAAAAGGTGCATTACAGGTGACCTCCATGAAAAAATATTTCAATTTGGGTGGACAAAGGTGAAGTGGAAAGACCTACCAGTTTCTTACACATCTCATGAAATATACTGCAGATTTCATATTGGGCCGATAAGGAAGGTTTCACAGGGTGAATATCTTTTGCTGTATTTATATACTTTATTTTTTATTATTTACATATTTTATATTATGGAGAATATAAGAGGAGCTGGGGCACACCAAAGGTAGATGGGAACACCCGAAATCTCCCTGGTTGACAGGAACAGAGTCAGAATTTATGGAAAGAGATGTGTCTATTGGTGTCGCCAAGACATTTAAGAAGTCAGGGGCTGACTCAGCCCATGAGGCTCCACCTATCAGTATAATAAAACTTTTGGAGGTTACTGACCCTTTAACAATGATCAACATGACAAGTCATAAAAAATTATTCCAGATACCATTGACACTGCTGGGGCGGAAATAAATTAGACTGTTAGATGTGTGTGTATACAATATATATATACACACACACACACATATACATTCATGCACACACACACACACACACACACACACAACCTGTAAAGTATAATCCCCTTTTAGTAAACGAGTTTTAAAACTTATTTACATTTTTGGACACAAGAAGGGGAGGATATTCCTGACAAGGGGCGTGGTTATACTTGGGCATAGGCAGGGCTGAACAATTTAAATGACGCAAGTTTCCGTGATTTGCTGATTGCAATAGGAACCTTTACTAGAGAAGAACTACACAGACACTACATAGGACATTTTAAAAGCAAAAGGAGCCTGCAAACCAGCTCTTCGTGCCTGTTAGTAAAAATGCACAATTTTGCTATGTATAAAATGATAAAAGCTTGCAAATGTACTTTTAGTTAAAAAAATAAATAAATACACTCAAAAAAATACAAACATTTCTCAAAAGGACATCAATTACTTTGCATTCAGCCTAAGCAAATTTAATAAATCTTCTCCATTGTCTGTACAGGTGGCAGATGCTGGTCTTACATATTATTCATTGTCACATAACAAGGAAAGGAGGTCAGAGTGTTAATTGGCTTTAGATATTGTTTTCCAAAGCTCCTCATTTGAAACAATGTGTTTTACAAAGAGACCAGAGATCGCTACAGAGGTAAATTATAATCTGTATACAGATTTAAAGAATTGCCAACGTATCTGAATGGAAATAGCGCCTCATATTTTTAGGCTCTTTGGTCTGGCAGATCATTATATGAAAAGTAGCAGCCTTCTAGGTCCTGATGCCCAGCAAATGTAGAAGCAGATTTATATATAGTGCAGGGAAGAAAAGATCACACTACAGAACAACTACTATCGGATTACTTTCCTGTCCATGTTTTATGGTGACTGACAGAGTGGCATAACAGGGCTGGAAAGTCTTGGTTAGGTTATATTTCCCATATGGCCGCTAAGCATAATACAATACCTAACACCTGATGGAGTTTAAAGTGAACCTGTCACAAACCTGGACAATACAAACTGGGCACTTGATGACAAAATTCATAAGCAGAGGTTACCCCTAGGGAAAACAGAATGTCAAACTGATCAGCAAGTCCAGAGATACCGTCAACTGAAGTTTATAAACAGAGGGGACCTCCAGTGAAAGCAGAATATCAAAGTGAAGTGAACAGCAGGTACAGAGACAGAGGCAACTGAAGTTCCCAAGCAGAGGTAGGTTACCTCCAGTGAACACAGAATGCCAAAGTGACCAGCATGTCCAGAGATACAGGCAACTGAAGTTTATAAGCAGGAGGTTACCTCCAGTGAACACAGAATGTCAAAGTGACCAGCAGGTCCAGAGACAGAGGCAGCTGAAGTTCCTAACAGAGTGGACTTCCAGTGAAAGCAGAATGTCAAAGCGATCAGCAGGTCCAGATATACAGGCAACTGAAGTTTCTAAGCAGAGGTTACCTACAGTGAAAACAGAATGTCAAAGTGACCAGCATGTCCAGAGATACAGGCAACTGAAGTTCCTTAGCAGAGTGGACCTCCAGTGAAAACACAATGTCAAAGCGTTCAGCAGGTCCAGAGAGATACAGGCAAAGTGAAGAGCAAATCTTGCCAAATTTTGCTGCAGTCCAACTGAAATTAAAATAATAGGCTCAGTTCACAAATGTGTAAAGCTTGTGTAAACCTTTTTTTTTCTATTTTAAAGTGTCATGAATTTTGAATCACAAACCGTTCCCTGTTGTGTTAGGGAAAGATAATTATTTGAGGTACCACAGGCTTCATGCTGGGGCCTGCCTTTTATGAATGGGCAGCAAAATGCACACCACAGTGTGGAGTCATCTAGTGCTAAGAGGATAGCCATATCCACTCTCCACTATGAATGAGCCCAGAAGATTGGGTTAGCGCTCTTATACTATTCTAGCTTCTGGCTGCCATCAACTGTGAGGTTCCATGAGGTGTCTATTGAGGAGAACAGGAAAAGGATCTTTAGCATGCCAAAAAAATGCCTTAAAGGGTAAAATACCAATTACAGTGAAAATCAGGCTTTCAACAATTAAATACCCGCTTCATTCCACAAAATGACTGTTCCGCACCCAAGTCATATTTCTGTTTGTGAATTAATCATGAAAATGGAGGTAACAATACCTCACCAGTGAACTGAGGCTTTGATAGTTAGGGTAGCCACTTATGGGACATATTGACTATGTACAGTAAATTTATCAGAAACTCTCTTGCAGTAGGTTGGGTCGTCACATCTCCACTGAAGCCGTAAGGTGCCATCATCCTATAATAAATCAAACACTCATCAGAAAGCACAGCACATGCTTTGGATTTGTAAGAAAGGAGCAGTTGACTGACATGTGGAGATGTCTCGACACAACAGTCCCCAAGATATACACTATATTGCCAAAGTTTGTAGTTACCTTACCATCACACCTATATGAGCTGGTCAGACATCCCATTTCAAAACCATGGCCATTAATATGGAATTGACCTCCTTTTACAGCAGCAACAACAGACTCCACTCTTCTGGGTAGGCTCTTTACGAGATATTGGAGTCTGTATGTGGGAATTTGTGCCCATTCAGCCAAAAGAGCAGTGTGCGCTTTGATTCATACCAAAGGTGTTCAGTAAGGATGAGGTCCAGGCTCTATGCAAATCACACTGGTTCCTCCACACCAAACTCATCAAACCACATCTTTATGGAGCTGGCTTTGTGCATGGGTGCACAGTCATGCTGTAATACCAAATGGCTTACAAACTGTTTCCGCAAGGTTGGAAGTGCACTATGGCCTTTGAATACTGTAGCATTAACAGTACAGCTTCATGCAAACATCTGACCTCAATAATTTGGAGGGGTGTCCACATACAGTCATTTGAAAAATTAAGTACATCGCATGGAGAGTGTTGGCTATTTCAACATATTGATCAGATCTTGATTTAAATAGAGCCTACAGATAAAGACGATATACTTGAAACAAAAATGCGGATTTGTCAAATGGAAAAAGTAAATACATCCCTACATTTACCAGCAGTTCAAATCCATGAAATACAAATCTGGAGTTCCATATTACGTGCCAATGTTTAGAACCTCCTTAGGAAGTATGCAGATGGAACAGGTCTTATTTAAACCTCATATCTAGAGCCCCGTGGTTCTCTTTGCTTCTGACACATTTGGTGTTATCATGCCAAGATCAATAGAGCTCTCTAAGGCTTTAAGGAAGAAAGTTGTGGATGTCTATGAGTCTAACAAGGGATTTCAAAAGATTGCCAGATGATTTGAAATCAATCATTTCACTGTAGGGAAAATAATCTAAAAGTGGCTTAGATTTCAAACCACTGCTAATTTGTCCAGGACTGGCCATCAAGCAAATTCAATCCAAGAGCTGACCATTTGATGCCAAGTCTCCCAGAACCCCAAATTTTAATCAGGTGGTGTTCAGGTAAGTCTTCCAACAGTTGGGGTCAAAGTGCATTCATCTTTAATCACAAAGAGATTGCAACAATTCAGCCGGCATGAGAGATGTTTTTAGAAAAAGTCTTTGCCGTCATAAAAAGAACATTTGAGCAAGATTACAGTTCGCACATTGCTCCAAAAGGCCTGGGATTTGCCTATATGTCCAATGCTCTGAAGACTTAATGAAATATAGCGTTATTTGGTCCCATTAATAGTAGACACGTTTGCAGCATACCAAAGATGGTATTTCAGGAGAAGAACCGCATAACACCTGTGAAGTATGATGGTGGAAATATTATTGTTTGGGTTTGCTTTGCTGCTTCAGGGCCTGGGCAGATTGCAGTCATCTGGCTAACTATACATTCTGCCTCATATCAAAGTGTGCTTGATGAGTATGTAAGGCCTTCTGTTCAAAAGTTGAAGTCGAACTGGAAAAGAGTGTTTCAACGAGATAAGGACCTGAAGCACACTAGCAAATCCATCAAGGAATGGCTCAAAAAACCCCATAAACAAATAGAGGGTCATGGACTGCCCTAGTCAAAGCCTTGCTGGATTTTCATTGACATTTTGTATGGAGATTTTGAAACGAACAGTTTAGTCAGGAAACTCACCAACATCTTGCAACTGAAGGCATTTTGCATGAGAAGAGGAGAAAAATGTGGATGTCGACTGGTGGAGCACTTATACAAAATGAATACAAGAAGTAATTTCTGCTAAAGGGGGCAATGGCAGCTTTTGATGCCAAAGGTGTATTTACTTTATTCAACAACATATTAAGTTTAGATGTAATGGCGTACTGTTAAAAAATTATTTAAAAAGTTTTGTTTTTTTTTTAGTTTTTTTTTGTAGGCACTGTTTGAATAAAGATA